GCTTTCCGCTGAGGATGCCAAGCTAGCCGCTGAGAAGGCAGAGGAAGCCAGGAAGGAGGCGGTCCTTCAAGCCGAGAAAGACGCAGTTGCCGGTTTTGTCGCCGAGGGCTGGAAAGCCGAGGATCAGAAGCCGTGGGTGGCTTCAGTCGTGGAGGCTTCGGTAGATAACTGGGTTGGAGGCCCCGATGCTTTGTGGCTTGCTTTGAAAGGCAAAAGCTACTACGAGGGGGTGAGTCCCCGGCTGTCTATGGCCTGCCCCCTACAACCAGACATTAGAATTCCCCTTCCTGAAGGTGAAGAGAGGCAGCTGCTTGAAGATTCGGAGCTGATGCGGGGGGATGATAATGAAGAATCTGAGGATGATGCTGCCTCGAGGCTGAAGGAGGGTGGCGTTAGAGATGCTCAAGGCTAGGAATTTTTCTAAGCATAAACCTTTGTAATAGATTGTAGGCCCACGGCTTCCGCCACATAAGTAAACAATATATACACTTCATCTTTTGGATATTTTTGGAATGAATGTTGTTTGAATGAATAGTGCGCCTTCGGGCTTTCTGTTATGGATGTCTTCGTCTCTTTACCTTATGCATGCTTTTAGGCGTCGATTTGTATGAACGTATGTTCGGTCTTCCTCCCACGAATGTCCGGGGGCAAAATATTTATGGACTTAGAAATTTTCCAAGTAAAAAATCCACAATGGAGCCCTCGGGTAAGCTACTCCTTTGATAGTCCCCGGTAAGTGTAGCCGGAGGCCTCTTTTGAATAGCATGGGATTGTGTTAGAACTATTTTATTGTGAATCAAGTTTGTCTATTATGTCTTGTTTATTTAATAGATTAGGTATACCATTTATGGTATTATTAATTATGTAATAAATAGGTTGTAAGGGAATAAGGCCAAAAAGGCTCTAGGCCTAAACTCCTACGCACCCTAATTAGGTAACTTGTACAGCGCCTATAAATATGTGCGTTCTGTACAGGTACCAATGTCGACAATTCTGCTCAGTAGCCTTACGCTGTAAAAACTTCTCGATAAATAGAAAAGAGGATTTCTCTGTTCTCGATATTGCATAAATCATTTTGTGAAATCTTTCTTAACTGTTTATTCGATGATATCCATCTAGCTGTGTGTTAGTCTACAGAAATCTGGGACCAACAACTGGTATCAGAGCCTACTCGGGTGTGATCATCGACGAAGAAGTTTTCGAAGTCCTATGTTTTTCATCTTTTCGACATTTTACTCTTTTAATCGTTGTAATCTCATTTCTGAACAAAAAATTGTAAAAGATGTACTGCTGAAATCGACTCTCAAATACGAGAAAGCAGTATATCTTAAATTTAAGCTTTGTTAAGATTTTAGATTTGAGGTTCTCGATATATTGATATCGAAAAGTAGGTTTCTCGAGGTTGTTACATGTTTTTCAGGCTGAAAACTATACAAGCAGGATCTCGAGATTAAGGACTTTGAAGAAAAGTTGTTTAAATTGTATAAAACTGAATTTTTAATTTGCAGGATTTCGATACTACATTCTCGAACTGAGTTCTCGAGTTTCACTTCTCGATACTCAGTTTTCGATATTTAGTTCTCGATATCTTCTCGAATTTGCAGGTTCTCGATACAGCTTCTCAACAGTCAAGTTCTCGAAACTATGTTCTCGAACTAAAGTTTTCGATATTGACTTCTCGATAGCTGCTTCTCGAACTCGCTTCTCGATAGCAGGGTTCTCGATATCTAATATCAAAAACTGCTTCTCGATAGAGCTTCTCGAACTCTACTTCTCGAACTACTTCCTGAATTAGGTTTTCGATATTCTGTACTTTAAATTTCTTTTTCTGATCAAATCACTCGAACGGTCAACTCTAAAAGTCAACAGCAAAGATGGAAGGTTTAGCACTCGATAATGACAACAGACCTCCAATTATGAGGAAAGGAGAATATTAGATGTGGAAGACAAGATTTCTGAATTTTCTGGAAGGGAAAGACAATTCATCTGCCGGGCCGGAATCACTCACTCAAGGACCAGCAGAGATTTGGGTAAATGTGACTGGAAATGATGGAAACAACCCTCCTGTTGTCCTTGAAAGAAGATTGAAGACGAAGTCTATATACACTGAGGAAGACAGTCTAAGAATCAAGGCAGACCTGATGGCCAAGACGTACCTGCTCCAGGCCATTCCAAATGATATTTACATTCTGATTGATAATATGGAAACAAATAAGGAGATGTGGGACGAGGTCAAAAAGCTGATGATTGGAACTGAACTTGGGCTTAAGACGAAGAAAGCAAACATCTTAACTGCCTATGATGCATTTAAAGCCCTACCTGGTGAAGCGCTCCATGAGACGTATAACAGATTCGTACAACTCATCAATGAGATGAGAAATATCAAGGTTGTCAAATCAAACATGGAAATGAACATGCGTTTCTTGTCGAGCTTGCCTCCAGAATGGAGAAGAACTGTAAAGAATCTGCGACATCACCTGGACCTGGATGAACTTGACCTTTGTACCGTTCATGAGCATCTGCAGCAGTTTGTGAATGACACTGCTGAGATGAGAGGAAGTTACTCTGCTAATCCGTTAGCACTCATGATGGAAGCTCAACCGAAGAGTTCATCCAAGGTTCAAAAGAAGAAGAAGGCAGTTGTTGTGGTGTCTGAAAAAGAAGAGAGTGAAGAAGAAGTGGATGTTGAATCTGAATTGGCCGAGCTGCAGAAAAAGATGGCCCTGCTGACCAATCAGTTCAATAAAAGATTTCCAAAGAAGGGAAACTCATCCAACAAGCTCAGAACTTCCTCCCCCAATTACAAATCAAAGAACAATGATCAGAACCCCTCCAGTAAAGCTGTTGTAGCCGAAGAACCTCTCAAATGCTTCAACTGTGGAAAAGCTGGACATGTCATCAAAGACTGTCGCTTACCAAGGAAGAGGGACTTCAACTATTATAAGCAGAAGATGTTGTGGAATAAGCAAAAAATGTTCATGGCCAAACAAGACGATGATAGTGTTGTAACGCTTACTGAGAAGGACCACTGGCAGGAGGAGGATTCGGATGATGATGATGATGATGATGATGATGATGATGATGAAGAGAATTTAGCCCTGATGGCTATTGTTGAAAAGGATGGAGAAAAGGGTGATGCTGCGATCCCCGAAGAAAGTGAAGGTTCAAACAACAATGACAAAGTAATTGTTTCTAAACCTTCTTGCTCCTGTACTTGTGAAGTTCATTCCTCATATGATAAGGATAACATTATAAAGGAGTTAAGAGACAGGTTAGATAACAACTACAAAGTCTTAGTTGAGAGTCTAGACAAAATTGCCTCCCTGAGCATACAATTAGAAAATGAGAAAGAAAGAGTTAGGAAGCGAACTTTAGAAGCAGATAAGCTTACACAGAAAGTAGCTGAACTGACTAAGAAGGTACGTGACACAGAAGTAGGGAAGGTACGTGACACAGAAGTAGAGCGAAATTGTGAAAAAGCTGAAAAATAATTTCTACATGAGAAAAGATGCACTCTTTACACAAAAATCAAAGAATTATAAGACTTACTTGCCAAGAAAGGACAGATAGAACAAACCATTTTTCTAAACCAAAACAAGGACACTCGTTTTTACAACTCTAAAGAATGTCTTGGTGTCACAAACCCTCGTAATCTGAAGAAAGTGAATTGTATTCAGCTTTATGATATCAATTACATGGGTTTGGGACTGCCCAAGTTGATGTCATTTGTCGGAGCAAAAGAAACTGCAGAAGAAGAAGAAGAGACAAAGAGATCAAACCCTTTTAAAGCCGAAGTTCCTTTCAGTTATGATTCCTTGAACAAAAGTCATGAAACAAAAGAACCCGTTTTTTCGTCTGGTGAGAGTGTTAGTCCTTATCCTTTTGAGACGGAAGTTGTGTCTGACCCAGAACCCCCTTCAACCTCAAATTCAGGTGTAAAAGAACCCTATATCCCTCTACTAATCAGAAAATTTGAAAAGCTACACATTTCTTTAGAAGAACAAAGAAAAAGTTTTGAAGCTGAAAGAAAGAGTTTTGAAAGTGAGAGAGAGAGGTTGTTGAGAGAACTGACCCTTTTAAAAGAAAGTTCCCAATCTGGCACAGCTTCCCAATCATTTAGTGATACTGATACTTCTCAACCAATTCTAAACAAAATTAACATTTTTAAAAGGACACCCACTCACTCCACGTCTCCTTTGAAAACAGGAAGAGAAGTGAGTAGGAGACTAGAGAGGAGAAGGGAATGGAGACTGAAAAAGAGCTGAGAGAGCTGAGAGAGCTGAAGGGAAGAAGAAGATGATGTTTTCCAAAAATAAGAAGTCTTGTTCTAGTGATGTTTTCTATTAAAATAAATGTAGTTTAGTTTCTATGTCACAACCTTGTAGTTCTGGTTTAGTCTTGAGTCTCAAGCTGAATCCTTCTGAATTCACTTCTGATCCTTTTTATTTCAATGATACTTTGTATGCCCCTGATTTAAGTAATGCTTGTTTTGATGCCTCTGAGTATGAATGTGTTGTGAATTCTGGTCGTGAGAGAAAAGAGAGAGAGCGCAAACTGTAACGCCCCACCCGGACCGACCAGCCGACCCGAGCGGCGTGTCACTTGGCGGAAAATCAGAACGGATTTAATAAAAAATACTTTTCGTGGTTGATGTGCTTGTATTTTACACACTTTTTAGGCTTAGTTTGTTAATAGTTTTAGTTAATAAAGTTGTATCTTTGTACATATTTTTATTATTTGTCGTTAGTTTGTATTAGTGCAGTTCTATATGGGTATTTTATATTTTTGGATACATTTGATGCTATTTGGATACATTTGAGTGTGAAGAAAAGAAGAAAATAAAAGTTCAAGTTAGAGAGAAAAAAAAAGATGTAACCACAAAGGTCGATAACATTATGACTCTGATCCAAAAGATGGCACAAGTCTCTCTTGTGCAAAACTCTGCATCAACTCCAACTCCTGTTCCCGTTCTTATGTGTGAATCTTGCGGTGGACAACACAATCAGTCCACTTGTCCATGGGAAGCAATGGAACAAGTTGACCATGTCAACTACAATACGCAGCCCCAACAAAATCAGTTTGGTAATTTCAATCCTCAAGGAAGAAATCATCCCGGTTTTTCCTGGAGCAATCAAAATGGAGCTGCTAATCCACAACAAACTTACCGAAGTGCACCACCCGGTTTCCAAAATCAACAACAGCAATTCAGAGGTGGACAAGGTGTTGTGAACTAGCAACAATACAAACCTACCCAAAATCTTCCATACCATTCAAATCAACAACAAAAACCACTTCTACCCACTCCTGAAACAGCCCAAACTCCTGTCCTAGAAAACATTGTTGACCAACTTCTCAAGTCCCAATTATCTCAAACCGAAACCCTGAAACAAATCACCGAAGAACTTGGTCAACTTCGAGCTCACAACAGGATGCTTGAAAATCAAATTGCTAATCAAGCATCTACATCATCAACTAAGGTGACGGGTAAGCTACCTGCTTGTCCTGAAAACCCGAGGGAGCAAATGAATGCCGTCACTACTCGGAGTGGGAAGCAACATCAATCCTTTCCTCTTTCTAATGATGAACAAGAACATGAAGTGTTGGAGGAAGGGGTCGTGAAACAACAGAAAGGTGGAAACAACAACAATGAACATGATGTCGGTACCATGCCGAAATCAACTGATGACCGTGAAGGGTCTAAGAAACAAAGAGAAAGTCCGGTAAGGAAATACATTCCCCCAGTTCCTTATCCGAACAGATTGAAGAAAGCTAATATGGAGGAGCGGAGAACTAAATTTTTGAATGTTATCAAGCAATTGGATATCTCAATTCCTTTGCTTGATGCCATTACAGAGATTCCTTCATATGCTAAATTTCTCAAAGACATTCTCACAAAGAAGAAAGAGAATCCAGCCACTGTTGCAATGAGTCAAGAATGCAGTGCCATCATCCAAAATAAGATCACACCCAAGTTACGTGATCCTGGAAGCTTCTCAATTCCATGTACCATTGGTGGATCCAAACTTAACAAAGCTCTTTGTGATCTTGGTGCAAGTGTTAGCTTAATTCCTTATTCACTATGTCAAAAGCTACACTTGGGGGATCCCAAACCAACAACAATGGCATTGCAATTGGCTGATCGATCTGTCAAATATCCTATCGGCATTCTTGAAGATGTTCCTATCAAAATTGACAAGTATTATATCCCAGGAGACTTCGTTGTCTTGGATATGGAAGAAGATGCCCGAGTTCCTGTTATTCTCGGGAGACCTTTTCTAGCTACAGCAGGAGCTATTATCAATGTCAAAAAGGGTACCCTTATCCTTGAGATTGGGGATGATAAGATCGAATTCAATGTACAAGAGCTGAGTAAGGATACACTTTGTGTCCTTGATGGTTACTATGTTGATGTTATAGACTCTTGTACTACTAATACATTTGATGAGTCCTATCGGCTTTCTAAAGATCTCATGGAGTACACCATACAAGAATCTATTGTAGATGAAATGGTGAATTTATGTCTCGAAATGTTGCAAAGCATATTTTTACCAATGCCTAAAGCACTTAAATTTGAAGTGCTTAATCTTGAAGATCAATCCTTGAATATCAAAGGAAAAGCACCCAAAGTGAGAGACAAGAGGCAGCTTCTGTGTATTGCCTCACTGATCCGAAATATGAATGAAGAGACATGGGTCAAGCTAATGACCTTAAACGAGCGCTTCTTGGGAGGCAACCCAAGTTTGTAAATTTCTCAAAAAAATAAAAAAAGATTAGTCTAGGTTTTCTTTATTTCTTTGGACTCTAAAGGGGCCACATCCGCTCAAAGGGATCTCCCAACGTCATGCGGATAAACCATTCCAGATTCGGCCGCGCTTCAGGGAAGTTTTCTTTACACTCCTTTAATTTCTTTTCCACTGAGGACAGTGCAAATTTTAAGTGTGGGGGAGTGGGTAGTTCGACCCTGATTTCTTGTGTGAATATTTTTTTTTTCCTTGTGTGCTTGTGTGATTTTGTTTTATTTATTTTGTGTGTTTTGTTTGTGAATAAAGACCAGTCTTGTCCAAAATGCAACAATAGACTAGCAACACATTAGTTTACACTTTTTGTTACTAGTTACCTTCTTAACTTTTTAAATTATTCATTCACCTCTTTTGATGAAATGTGGTTTGAGTTTGAGAAGTGTCACCGTAATTTTTTGAGAGTAACTTAGTATGAGCTTTGAACTTGATTCTTTTTAACAATTTAACATTACACCTTAGATTTTATTTTTCCAATTTATTGGTTTAATAGTTGAATTAGTGAAAGTTTATGCAGTTTAAGATGTTTATACATTTATTCTCCTTGAAATTTAATTTGAACTTGACACATTAGAAATGATTTAGGCCATCTTTGTTTACCCATCAAGCCAAACACTATCCCTTTGTAAATAAATAACACTTTCCCTAGTAACCCTGTTTGAGCCTTTTCAGTGTACAAGTGTAAAATAACTTACTTCACTTGTTACTAATTTTTCTTGTGACCTTGTAAATACATAACCTTGTGAAATCCTACCCAAGTCATTTTTGTTTGAACCCTAGAGTAGTTTGTATTGTTACTTGAGAGTGGATAAAATGGAGCTTCTGTTAAGTGTCATATTAGTGATGTACATATTTGTTTGTAAATTTGGGGTTAGTTTTTCATTGTAATATTTAGTGTTTGCCTTCTTTGAAAAAAAAAAAAGAAAAAAAAAAAGAAAAAAACAATAAAAAAAGAAAAAAAAAAAGAAAAAAAAAAGTAAATAAAAAAAAAACAAAAACAAAGAGGCACATTAATTTCTTGTTGTGATTTCTTCTGTAAAACCCCATTTTTACTTCCTTTTCATGTTTATATTTCTCATTGTTTTGTATGCTCCAAGTTCTTGTAAATTCATGTGATTATCCGCTCAGTATAAGTGCAATCTAACTCTCTTTGTAAATTCCTACACCAAACCTTTCTTTCCACTAGCCACGTCATTAAGCTCGCCAAAACCCGAAAAGTCCTGATTGATCTATTTGTGTCATTTTTTGAATTAAGTTAATTGGAGAAACTTGTTCTGCATAACCCGAACTAATTCAGATCTATAAGTGTTTGTGTTAAAAATTTGATTTAAAAATCTTAGTGATAGGCAATAATACTCAGTTTACTCTCATTGCATTATTTTTTGACATTTCAGGGTATTGGACCGTTTAGTGGACATGAGAGGTGTATGTATAATTTGTTTAGTTATGTTTGTAAATTTTACCAAATTGTGTATATTTTTGTGTTTGTTGTTTATTTTGCTTGAGGACAAGCAAAAGCCTAAGTGTGGGGGATTTGATGTGCTTGTATTTTACACACTTTTTAGGCTTAGTTTGTTAATAGTTTTAGTTAATAAAGTTGTATCTTTGTACATATTTTTATTATTTGTCGTTAGTTTGTATTAGTGCAGTTCTATATGGGTATTTTATATTTTTGGATACATTTGATGCTATTTGGATACATTTGAGTGTGAAGAAAAGAAGAAAATAAAAGTTCAAGTTAGAGAGAAAAAAAAAGGTGGAATCTCCTTCCAAGCAAATATGGAGTACATTGAAGAAAGAAAGCAAAACTAAAAAAAATAGAGATGGGATTCGAACTCTGGTCCCAGGGACGAAGGAAGGCATGCCGAACCAGAAGGCTAAGAGTACAAGTTGTGATAATTCAGCTGGAGCTTATTGTAATTGCATCCCATCGCAGCAAGGAAAAGAAGAGAAAAAAGGAGTCAACGCACGGAATCGATCTCACAACCTCCGTGTCACAACACCAATCTTTCACCGCTACACTACTATGTGTTGTTGATACCTGGACGCGTTTTCTTGTACATATACTCTCCAGTTCCGTAAATTCCAGCAATTAATGATTAATCACCTTATCATTATATTGCCTTAATCCATCTCCCTCCACAAAGAATCTCGAGCCAACTTCTCTCTACACCTCCCAGAACCATTTCCTCCTCCTTCTCTCTTCATTCTTCACTTCCAAATCATCAACCCATCTTCAACCACAACTAATCACTTCCTTATCCAAGATTAAGTCAAGATTAGCACCAAAGCTTCAAGGATTGTCATCTATCACAAGTTTGATCTTCCTTATCTCATTAAATCTTGTACTTTAATTATGGATTCATCTATTTCTATGCTTCCAAACATGTATAGCTAAATAAATTTGGGGCTAGAAATTGGTTAATTAATTGTTCTTATCATGTTTTAATTTGTATTGATTTTAATTGTTAAGTTTGTTCTATTTAGATTGTTGTGTCCAGAAAATTAATTATGTTATGTTTGTGATATATATTATGAGTACTCAATCATAAACATATTGTTTGTTAAATACACAAATGAACACTTTCTGAACACACCGTTAAACTTCTTTTACCTTGTCCCGGATTGAAGTTTTACGGGGGAATTTAATTATTTAATTATATTATTTACACCACGGGGTTGGGTAAATAATATAGTTAATAATTAAGGTTGTCGTTGCACTTAAACAACTAGTCTCGTTTTGGCCATCACTGGGAAATGTTGACTAGTTACTTATTTTAGATGACTTGTGTTGGGTCCTAAAATATTTAACCACAACTTCTCACAATCTATCTAAGAATAAAATTAGCAATTATGTCTCTCAATTAAACATTGAACAATTAGTTACCAATTTCTACCCCTACTTGCTATTGGTTGAACTTTGTGTTGATAAAAATCTCTCATCTCAATCACTTTTATTTTATTACTTTTCCAAGCAACCAAAAAAAAATCAAAAGAAACGCACTTCCAACTTTAATCCTTAGTTTGTGCTTAATTATTTTATTTCCCGCTTCTCTGTGGTTCGACACCCTACTTCCTTGGGTAAAAAATAGTTGTGTGCCCATTATATGCTACACGCCAACTTGGCGCCGTTGCCGGGGAAGCGGTTTTGAAAAAAAAAAAGCATGAACTTTTGGTTTTAGTTATTGTAAATTGTGTGTATATTATTTTGTTGTTATCTTGTTTCCTTTTGCAGGTTCAAAAAAAAAATACGAGTGATTAATTAAAGTTCAAAAAAAAAAAATTGAACTATGATTAATTACCTTATCTGAGCATTGGAGTTGGACACTTTGACTGAACATATATCTGGACATTTGGACCATTGGACATATTGTCACATTTTAATTCAAAGGATACTCCGCCTTTATGGTCGGACCGCTAATTTGTACATATTAATTGAACGGATAATCCGCCTATATGGTCGGACCGTTTACTTGAACATAGTAATTTAAAGGATACTCCGCCTATATGGTCGGACCGTTTATTTTTCTTTTTATGGTGGTTAAAACCCCAACTTTTTAATTTCTGCACTTTAATTATCGCAATTTAATTTATGCACTTTAATTATCGCAATTTAATTTCCGCACTTTAATTTCAGCATTTTTTTATTTTGCATCCCCAAGCTTGTCGGCCGTGTCCGCTTGTTGGTGGCGTGCACTTTTTTTTTTTTTCCTTAGTAATCTCCAGACTGTCGGCACAGCTGCATCTTGGTGGAGACTGTATTTATTACTGTAGTTATTTTTTTTCCTTCTTCTCAAATCACCATATCTGTCGGCCCTGCCGCATCCTGGTGAATTACTGTATATATTAATACTGCTTTAAGGGCTCACTAGTCTTATTCGGTTTATACCAATTGACTACGTGCGAACCTTAATTAATTAATTAATTCCACATTTTTTCTTTTCTTTTCATCTCTCTCTTTTCCCAATCCCGATTCCCTTCTGCTTATGCTTACACGTTCACGTGGTGCAAATTGTGAGTTGTTATTCTTCTCTGACATTGAAAAACACATACGTGAACAGAAAAAAATAAAAAAAATGTCAAACGATGTTGTTGTAAATGAGCAGGAACCAGATCAACAAATCGTGGATCAGGTTACAAGGACCAGGAAACCGTTGTATGATTATGTTACGCCTCCCGTGGATGAGCATGACAGTGTTATTCCACCGGAGGTTAACATGAACCAATTTGAAATCAAGCCTGCTATCATCCACATGGTTTCAAATGATCGATTTGGCGGAGCGCCAACGGAGGATCCAAATAATCATATCACAAAGTTCCTTCGAGCTTGCAACACCTTCAAAATCAATGGTGTGCCATCTGATGCTGTCAGACTACGCCTATTCCCATTCTCTCTACGGGATCGAGCTCAGAGTTGGCTTGACTCTTTTCCAGACAATCACTTCTCCACTTGGGATCAACTTCATGGTGAATTTCTCAAAAGATTTTTTCCGCCATCTAAAACGGCGAAAATCCGGAGAATGATTCAAAATTTCAAACAAAATCCCAACGAGCCCCTCTATGAGGCTTGGGAAAGATTCAAAGATCTCCAGCGACAGTGTCCACATCATAACATCCAAAACTGGCACTTGATGACGGCTTTCTATGAAGGCCTAAGTGAAAATTCTCGGATACTTGTGGACGCGTCCGCAAATGGATCATTCATGTGCCTAGAACTTGAAGAGGCAGAAGAATTGATGGAACGCATTTCATCAAATGGATCAACATGGTATTCTGAGCGATCATCTGCTCCACCAAAAATCGGAGGCATGTACGAAGTTGATCAAATGTCGGCCATAACCACAAAGGTCGATAACATTATGACTCTGATCCAAAAGATGGCACAAG